TAAGTATGCGCTCAACTCTCGCACTGTCCACATACTTAGTGTCAGGAAATTGACGCCAATTATACTGAAACTGATTTACTCTCATAGTATGTAAATTAGACCTGACCATAATTTAAGGTGAAAAATATTTCATCATTCAATTTTTAGCAGTATAAACCACTTTTTTGCCCACCTAAAAAATTTCTTCGATAGTTCGGCGTGACTGGATTGAAATACTATTTTGGTATCTGGCAGACTTATGATAAAATGTCTTTACTAGTGCTAAAGAAAATGCTGTTTTCAATAGCGTTACACGCCTATTTTCCAAATGTCTCGAGCTTATTCCTAGAAGAGGAGTGGAAAGTTTTGCACCACTTTATATTGTCATGGCGATACCGTAAGTTGTTGCAAAACATTCTAGCCCTTATTTCACCTTATAATCTACAATCATGGACAAGGCTATTCTACCTCGACTGGGAAGCAAGTAATGTGGAGCAGCAAAATATCCACTGCAAATTTTCCAATTTCAAATTTGAAATAAGATGGTGATGAGAACTAATTCTCACACAACTTTAAAATTGAGTATGTGTTGATACTACAGCTTTAGCGTATTTCATTGCTGTTCACATCTGACAGTATACTAACAAATCGTTTCAAATTCAAGTGTTATGGTAAACTTCCTCCAAATGCTTGCTCAATAATTGTCAGATGATGTATTTTTCGGCAGGGCAAATACTCAGGGGAGCTACATAAAACTACGCATACTGTACTGGTAGAATATGGGCGTTTTTAATCGATCTATTAATTTCCTCAACCTTTCATTACGAACAGTTAGCCTTTTTAGCATCCAAACTAACCTTCTCTTTGTCGATATTAGGGGTGAATTGCCGACCGAAAACGATACCAGGCGGCGCACGTCTAATCCCTTCAACTCGCTTTGCTGCATATGCTACTTTTACTCCAAACCTAAAAACATTCTTTGAGAGGGTTTACAGTAGTCGAGAAAAGTAACCAGCTCACGCTTTCAAAAATTGATTCATGCTTCCACATTCATGAAGATTAAGGGCTTCCAACAACGAATGAATTTTTTTGTGACGGATGTCGGGTTTATCAGCACGCGGAACCTAAACAATCTCTGAACGTGTCTTTAACGAAGCATTCGAAAAAAATGAGACAAACAGAATTCGTAATTTGCTGCTTCTCTAGAGAAACTCGCTGGTCTGGTGCAACTTCCAGCAATTCCATTGGGAAGAATTGGATGCAGCCGCCACTGCGCCATTTTACCGCTGGCCAATCGGGATTAAGAGGAACACGGGTGTCTGAGAACTTCGTCAGAACTTCCACTTTGGTTCCAGCACTATAAACTTATTTTGCACTTGAGCTAGAATCATACTTATTTTAAACTTACCGCAAGACATCTTTCAGGTCCTTTATTGGCTGATCACTAATTCCTATTGCCACAAAACTGAGCGGGTTTGTGCCGCTCCCAACA